AGTTTTTCTCAAATCAGCAGCCACTCCATTCTCAATGACTTTTATCATACAGTTGTTTAAACTGTAGAGAATTTTTTGTATGTCAACATCAAATACTAAAAGACCAAATACTGATTAAAATCAGACTCATCATGGTCAGATAATGAATTATTTAGTCCATCTTTCACATAAATAATAATACCTCCTCCTTAGGGCTGGGCGCGTTCCTGGTGGAACGATCGTTCTTTCCCGAGAACGAACGGAACTATCAAGAACGATCCGATCGTTCCAAAAAAAACGAACGCTTAGAACGCGTTCTTAAAAATATTGGAACGATTAATAAAAGAACGGAACGGGAATTGCTTGAAAAGAACGGTTAAAATCGTTAACGCGTTCTTATTATCAAGAACTTGTTCTAAGTTGGGAACGCATTTTATGGGAAGACCGTTCTTCTACTCAGAACGGAACGGAACGGAACGAGAACGGAACGATAAAAAAAGAGGAACGAGAACGGAACGATTTAGCTGAAGGCACTCGTTCTAGAACGGAACGGAACGATTTCAAAAAAGTCGGAACGTGCCCAGCTCTACTCCTCCTCCTCCTCCAGTAGTAATTGTTTAACCATGGCAGCTCAGTTAAATTATTAAATCTGGTATAAAATCAGTGACTGTACAGCTTAAAATCATTTACTTTACTAAAAAAGCCTTGTATATTAGAGTGTTTTTTTGCTTGCTTCGGAGTGCTGGGTTCCTATTCGGAATCCGCTGGGCCTTGCTCCTGGAGTTGTTGTGTTGACGTCTCCTTCCTGCCTGGTGTTGTTGTCAAATTCTTGCCAATTGTGAAGCCGTCTTCCAGATCGAGGAACAATCAAAATCGTTATCATTCTTTATTTTTAACAATAATCCACCATTGATAAACGAATTGAACCATTCTCGATTAATTGAACACAATTAGAACGGAATAGAACAAAACAGAGATAAAACTAATTGGAAAAGAACTAACAAGAAATAAATGATTCAGCTGAGGGACTTCATTCTAAAATAAGGAACTAACTATTTAAAAAAGTAGGAACATGCCCACCCCTAGGAATTAGTATTACACGCATGCAAATTTCACTTTATTGACAGCCTATGAAATTCCAACTTATCAGAAGGGAGAAAGCCAAGGCTTTGCAATGGCCCTTCCCAATTGGTCAAATAATACTTTTAAGAATTGCTAAATGGAAAATTTCAAACTTTTGTTTTTTAACTTTTTAACAAATTTGTGTTATGCAATATTTTAGGGGGAAGATAATTTTTTTTTTAAATTTTAAAATGCAATTTTTATGAGATAAATAGTAAAGACCATAATAAAAGACAAATTGTATTGTTATTAATGCCCAATGTCTTGCCTTCAAGCTGTTTCTCTTTATAATATCTGCTTTGTTTTCTTTATAGCATTTTTTCACTCTTGGATTACCTCACTTGCTGCTGATTTTACCATCTTTTGGTGCCTTTTTAGGGGGGAAGCGGTGGGCTAAAATATTTTTTTTGCGTTTTTGCTGTATTTTTTTTTCAATTCTGATGTATCTTGTTTAGAATGATTGGATAATGGAGTTTGATCAGGAGAAAATGGAAAGGAATTGTCTCATCAGTACTATTCTTCTTGGAGTTCTCATCTATCCTGGATTCTTGTGGGTAGACATCCAACGTGGTAATATACAACACAAAAATTATTTTTTATTTATAGGGACTGGAAAGCCTAATTTCAAGTGAACATCCATTTACAGAGTGATGTCCAATTTACAATGCAATGATCGAAGAGTTTGTAGATATTCGTTTATTTACAGCGGGAAATAAAGTGCCAAGCCAAGAAACTGCGCGAGTGTACACTAGCACCTAGTTACAGTGTACACTGTACACTGTAACCTTGAGTAACCATGCACTCAATCTTTGCTATGCATCGTTGTCCAGTCTATCTTACAGTCCCTGTAAACATAGAACATATTTCAATAGCTAGCATCTGTGGCTTAGTGCTAGCGCTCTCGGTTTCAAATCCTGAGGTAGTTGGGTTGGGTCCCCTATCCGGCTGCCACAAGATTTTGACCACAGCGCTACTTCCAGTGATTCATAACCCGGAGATTTGCCACAAGTTTCTCAGTCTTGTGACAAATCTCCGGGTGGAGTGGTGTACTTCACAAAAACAGTGTTTAGTGTCAAATTTGTGGCAAAAATTCCCACCTCCAGACGCTGTCAAAAGGTTGCGCCACCGAGTACACAGTGTGTCCATGCTTCTGGGTTGTGTTCATGCATGCACAATAGATAGCAGTATATGCTCCTTTACTTGTCCTTTCTTTGCAGAAAATTGCTAAAAATTAGTACTCGTTGAAGGCCCCATAGAGCTGAGTACAATTAAAAGGTCATTATAGTCCCATCCGGTCCTCCCTTACAAAGCAAAGAAACTGTCAATTATGGCAAGTTTATAGAGCATATACGTCAATTAATCAATCAATCAAAATATTTCAACCTCAAGGTTAAACAACAGTTTAGGAATCATTTCCTTAAAAAAAATTAAAATTGGTCAAAATAAACTATTTTATAGGAAGGATACATGAAGACTTTCTCTTAAAATCCATTCTACATCACAATTATTTTTTCAGGCACTGTTAGTGCAATAGAATCATTTCCAAGCAGATGTCCTATCAATGGCGAACAGGATTATGTCTTCCTTGCAAATAGCATCGTTGCCATTGTTTATCTTTCTCTGTTTATAATATCCAACATCATCCTGAAGATTGTTTTTAGAAATGAGGAACAAGAAAACTTCCAAAACTTCAGTCTTAAAACCTTGACAATTGGAGTTGCATTTGTGGCAGCAGTTCTTGGTTTCCTTGGAATAATTCAGTTCTTACCTAACTCAGACTTTGAAATGAAAGCAAACTACATGATAATAACTGTGTGCAATGCTGCATTAGTTTTGTACATAATCAAAGAAAATGAGTTCACTTTCCCCTTTCTTTTAAGCCTGTTCCAGCAGATCAGATGTACCGATCCCAATGCTGTTGATCCTATCGTTCCAATATTCCCCATGCAGGAGCTGAATCCTAGAACTCTTCGGGTCAATCAGGACTGTAGGATTATAGATTTAGAGGATGATGGCGGAATCTTTATGGGTTAAACCTTGTAGGAGCTGAATTCTACTGGATTATTGATATATGAGCTGAATCCTACTGAATTATTGCTCAGGAGCTGAATCCAACTGAATTATTGATCGGGAGCTAAACCCTACTGAATTATTGGCCGAAAAGCTGAATCCTACTGAATTATTGATCTAGGATTGGAATCCTATAACTGAATTATTTATCAGGAGCTAAACCCTGCAAGATTATTAATGTCAGAGCTGAATCCTAATGAATTATTAATCTAAGAGCTGAATCTTACACGGGGTATTGATCTAGGAGCCCAATCCTACTGAATTATTGATCAGGAGATGAAACAAACAGGGTCATTGATCTAGGAGCTGAATCCTACTGAATTATTGATCAGGAGCTAAATCCTACTGAACTATTAATCAGGAGCTAAATCCTACTGAACTATTAATCAGGAGCTGAACCCTGCAGGATTATTGATCTAAGAGCTGATTCTTACTGGGGTTATTGATCTAGGAGCCGAATCCTACTGAATTATTGATCAGGAGATGAAACCAACAGGGTTTATGATCTAGGAGCTGAATCCTACTGAATTATTGATCAGGAGATGAAACCAACAGGGTTAATGATCTAGGAGCTGAATTCTACTGAATTATTGATCAGGATCTAAATCCTACTGAACTATTAATCAGGAGCTAAACCCTGCAGGATTATTGATCTAGGAGCTGAATCTTACTGGATAATTGATCTATGAGCTTAATCCTACCGAATTATTGATCTAGGAGCTGAAACCTGCAGGATGATTGATCGAATAGAGGGAGCAATACAACATTATACGTATACTTAAACATCTTTAGATGTAAACCCTTGGCGTGATTCTAGTTATTACATTAATACATTAATTTGTTAGTCAAATTTACAATAATTCTCAGTGAGTTTCAAGGATTACAAAGAAATCTAATGATATTTTTAGTACAATCTGTAAAAGCTTTCCAAAAAAGGATCCATAAGTGATAAATATTCGTTATTTTGGAGTCTTTCATCGTTAATATTTTGATAAATAAATGATACAAATTTTCTAGATTTAATTTGAACTTCAAAAAAGGGTATTGCCCAAATCAAAGATTATAAAAGATGAAATAAAATTTAATTCAAATTTCTCTCTAAATATTTTTCTTTTCATGTAAAAAATGTTTAAAGTTTTTATACCACTTGAGTCATTTATGATAAATGATGTCATCTTTGTCGGAATTCTAAAAAAATTTTATTTTAACTTAAAACACAAGTTAAAAAAAATCTCCTATATTAAGCAGGTACATTTTTATGTATTGCGCATGCTCATTACTACATAACGGAGGCTCGGTCTGCCTAGGAAATCTGGGAGGCTCATGGCGTCCGGGGTTCCCACTCTCGTTGCGCTTATATGGAGAAAATGGTTAAACACGACTGGTACGTAGCGTCCATACAAATTCTAAAAGTTGCATTATTCCACTCAGATTGTAAATGATTCAATAGATTTAAATTAATCATTCAGATATTACAACCTGTAATCATAAAATTCAATTCAATGCATTTGTAAATTGTTAATATTTAATATTGTTTTTTTATTTGTTTCTTAAATGATGAACTTTTAACGACGATTGTTTGGCCACTAGGTGTCTCTGCTCTATCGGTACGCGCGGCTGTACCCATCGCACCCAAAAATTGTATATTCTATTACTCCAGGGAAGTTAAAAAAAAATTCCAGGAAAAAATGTTAACATTTATTATTTTAGAAAACGACCCATTTAATCGGGAAAATCGGTTAAAACTGTAGTTTCACATCTACGAAGAAAAATGGCGCCTTGAAAAGCTTTAGTTTTTACGAGAAAACGGGGCGCGAAGCCTTCAAATATTAACATTTTCTGAGATATATTTCTGTTAATAAATAAGCATTACAATAGCTAAATATACTGCATTACGTAGCTGTACTGTACTGCACTGGACAAAACTGGATTGTGTAGTGTACCTTGAATTGCACATTGTTCAACGTACATATATAACGTATAATTAATCATAATTAAGGCAATTACATGACGATGCTTCAAGATTTAAAGGGACTGTAAGCGTAATTTCAAGAGAGTTTCAATTTTTAGAGATGCATGTCCGATTCACAACGGTACCCTTTAAACCTTTGCCCTGACAAAGATGAGTTATATACCCTTATTTGTATAGCTGAAGATTGAGTGCAGGGAGACACGAGGTTACAGTGTACACTGTACTGCGTGCTAGTGGCACTTAATTTCCCGCTATATAAATAAGGATATCTACGCAATCCTTGATTAAACAATGGTTGTAAAGATATTGTTGTAAATCAGACATGCCGTTCTATTACTGGAAGGTTAATTGAAGTTGCTCTGACAGTCCCATTAAAATCGCACTTTAAAACTAAATGTATAAGACATAAGTCAGTGAATTGATAACATATTTACAAAAAGTGTAAAATTTAAAGAAAACAAACGAAATATAACAAATATCCAAACTTAGAGATTGCATGAGATTTTTAAAGTGTAAAAATGAGATTAAAACAAAATACTATGTGTTAAACTAAAAATACTACTAAAATAATAATATCTGTATAATATTAAAAAATGTAAGCTTTTATTGCATAAAACGCAAACTATGGAATGAGTGAGTATAAAAGTTGAAATCAAGTTAAACTATTTTTATTTTTTTTTTAATTCATTTTGTTTGAGATCGATAATAAGCAATTTTAGGCGTTGTTCAAATGATTCAAAATGATTAGGACCTTGAATTTTAAAAATCTTTTTCAATTTATAATTTATTTTGTTAAAAGTAGAGGTTTAACAACCCTGCAGAAATGCTTTTACAGTCCAATCAATTGTCAAACGTTCAAAAATAATCTGTCGACTAACGTTAAGAAAAAGCATAGATTAAATATTTCTGTTACAGATAGAATTTAATCTGTCTGCTACAGATAGAATTTAATCTGTCTGCTACAGATAGAATTTAATCTGTCTGCTACGGATAGAATTAAATCTGTCTGCTACAGATAGAATTTAATCTGTCTGCTACAGATTAGACAAAATCTGTCTGCTACAGATAGAATTTAATCTGTCTGCTACAGATAGAATTTAATCCGTCTGCTACAGATAGAATTTAATCCGTCTGCTACAGATAGAATTTAATCTGTCTGCTACAGATAGAATTTAATCTGTCTGCTACAGATAGAATTTAATCTGTCTGCTACAGATATAATTTAATCCGTCTGCCACAGGTAGAATTTAATGTCTTCTACAGATAAGACAAAATCTGTCTGCTACAGAGAGAATTTAATCTGTCCGCTACTGATAAGACAAAATCTGTCTACTACAGATAGAATTTAATCCGTCTGCTACAGATAAAATTTTATCTGTCTGGTACAGATAGAATTTAATCTGTCTGCTACTGATAGGACAAAATCTGTCTGTTACAGATAGAATGTAATCCGTCTGCTACAGATAGAATTTAATCTGTCTGCTACAGATAAGACAACATCTGTCTGCTACAAATAGAAATTAATCTGTCTGCTACAGATAAGACAAAATCAGTCAGCTACAGATAAGACAAAATCAGTCAGCTACATATAAGACAAAATCTGTCTGCTATATATTAGACAAAATCTGTCTGTTACAGATCAGATGAAATCTGTCTGTTATAGATCAGATGAAATCTGTCTGTTATAGATCAGATTAATTCTGTCTGTTATAGATCAGATTAAATCGGATTGTTATATATCAGATGAAATCTGTCTGTTATAGATCAGATGAAATCTGTCTGTAATAGATCAGATGAAATCTGTCTATTATAGATCAGATGAAATCTGTCTGTTAAAGATCAGATGAAATCTGTCTGCTATATATTAGACAAAATCTGTCTGTTATGGATCAGATTAAATCTGTCTGTTATAGATCAGATTAAATCTGTCTAATTCGATAATTCGCTAACCTTTCCCGCAATCTTCCCCACCGATTCATCTGATAACATAGGCGAGCTCAAGGGTTCCTCTTCGTCTGTCGCTGGATCAAGTTCGTCGATAACACTGAAATAGTCGTTCATCGATTTAATGCATTAGTATAATCCACGGTTAAACCCTTGAATAGCGTAAATATCAGATTTTTCCTGGGTATACCTCTTATTTAATATGTTAAACATGAACTATCAAGTTCGTCGATAACACTGAAATAGTCATTCCTCGTTTTAATGCATTAGTATAATCCACGGTTAAACCCTTGAATAGCGTAAATACTAGATTTTTCCCGGGTATTACTATTAGGTGGTAACCTTATATTTACTCTCAATGTTAAACCATATTTCCATAAGAACACTAAATTCGGATGTATTATCACCTAGTTTTCCTGTTAATTTAGATCCCCTTCTAATTAGTACCTTGTATCTTCTATGCTTTCTATGAGGATATCATCAAACTTTCCAGACTTAGCCACGCTCTCGTCGTCCTCCGAGGATGATCGTTTAAGCGACCCTTCACTTCCCAGCATACCCGTAGCATCTGATGCCCTAAGAGAATTAATTCTTTGCACCCACAGTTAAGTATGCTCAGTTATTAAAACAGAATTACAAAATAATTAGAAAGAATACAAAATCGCACCTGGAAGGTGTGGGTCGTCGACCCCCCAACTCAAGGAGCGCTTTCTCGTTCAAGAGCTCCTCATATCTTTTAACTAGTTCCGGTCCGATTAGCTCCTTGCTGAATACTCCGTTAGTAGCTAGGTCGAATGCCACCTGGCTCACCTCCAGCATGACTTTGGGGGTTCGGAGCCCTGGGTTGATAACTCGTAACGTCAGCATATTTTGTGCCGCAATCTTAATGAAGGCATCATAACTAGTAGTCTTAACTTTTGGAGCCGAAAACTTGTATTCTTTCCCCACCTCGACCATGTCTTTAATCGTAGAGTACGCGTGGGTTGTATTCTTCATCCAGTACACAAACTTAGGAAACTTATCTTGATTCTGGATAATCACTAAGTACGCCATAATTGCCAACGCTCTCAGGTTAACTCAATACTGGTAATTTAGTCTAGATTCACCTTCTATAGAAAGCTTTGTGCGCCGGAAACCATTGACGGTGACATGTCTCCTTACTTGTTCATAATAAATTGTGGCATTCATGCCCTAGTTGCGAAATTCACGTAACGACGACATTCGGGTACATCATTGCCTTACTCTTAGCGCTGCCTCATCAGCTATGCGCCCCATCGCCCCCAACACGACATCCATACATCCGGTATCATATTTACTGTTCTGTCAATACAAACAAAAAGTAACTTTTGAATTTACTAGATTTAAACAAACGCAATAATCCTTACAAATTATTCCTGTTATAACACCCTTTGAGTACGCCGTAATATTCCCTCTAAGTGCTGCATCATCAGCAGTGCGCAACCTCGCCCCTACCGGCTCAGTTTCCTTTATTTAACCTAACGCAATACTCAAAACAACTTTCATCTGTTACCGACATATGCTTGCGTCATACCATTCACTCTAAGTGCTACATCATCGGCAGTATGCAACCTCGCCCCTAATGAACGAGTTTGTTATATTTAACGACTGTACTTGTCATTACATATCTCATAATGCACCAACATTCTATTACGTCATTCCCTCTAAGTGTTTGCGTCATACCATTCACTCTAAGTGCTGCATCATCGGCAGTATGCAACCTCGCCCCTAATGAACGAGTTTGTTATTTTCAACGACTGTACTTGTCATTACAGAGTTCATAATGCATCAACATTCGGTTACGTCATTCCCTCTAAGTGTTGCATCGTCGGCACTGTGCAACCTCGCCCGTACTGTGACCTTCCTATATTTTATAGCAAACTTATTTGTCTTTCCAAAATATCTATTGGCACCGTGCCTGGACACACACTCTGGCTGAGTTAACTTTAATTAACTGAATGCATTACGCATAATGCAATTTAGATTTGTATTTGTGCAAATTAACTCAAATCTTTTGTGCGAAATTAGTTCCACATAATTAAAATATCCAGTCAGTTAATCCCTACTGCCTCTTATACTAGTCTTGGTCATAATGGCTCAAATAGCACCATAAATTATTTCATAAGGACCATTCCCGCAATAATTTAATAAAAGACTAGATACTTTTAAGGATTTATTATCTACTAATTTATTCATATTGAACAATCTCATACTGTTCAAAACAAAACATTACCCTATGCCTTGTTCAAGACTAGATATTTTCAAGAATTTATTATCTACTAAGTTATTCATATTGAACAATCTCATACTGTTCAAAACAAAACATTACCCTATGCCTTGCTCAAAACTATAACAAACTTATAAATATATCTACGCTTTAAAAGTAATCCACACTGGACTATTGAGGCATTAACTTGTTAAGTAAGAAATTATATTTAAAATGAATCCACACTGGACTATTCAGGCATTAACTAGTTAATTAAGAAGTTATATTTAAAATGAAATAGGAGCGTATTAAACATAGTCTGGTGTGGAAAACCAGCCCCACTACTTTGTAAACTCTGCTGTACAACTTCAGAATTACACTGCAAATCTCCCAACAGAACCGGTTTAACAAGCTCTACATTAGGTTGCGTATTTTCTGAGCNCCGTAGTTAGAAACAAGGCGGATAACACAGACAAATGCCCGTAGTTAGAAACAAGGCAGATACTCTCAGCATCACAGACCAGGCTGAGTATCCGCCCGTAGTTAGAAACAAGGCGGATAAAACAGCCGACCTGCCCGTAGTTATAAACAAGGCAGATACTCTCAGCGTCACAGACCAGACTGAGTATCCGCCCGTAGTTAGAAACAAGGCGGATAGCCCAGACAAACTGATACTCTCAGCATCACAGACCAGGCTGAGTATCCGCCCGTAGTTAGAAACAAGGCGGATAAAACAGCCGACCTCGGGGTATAATAAACCGACATCACGTCACAGAACGCCTTGTGCTTAGACTTGGTTAGCTACAACTGCCCAAACGGCTGGCCCCAATTGGCTGAATTTTTCGGGGGAACCCATGGGTACCCTGGGGATACCCTGGGGATAACGTATGCTAAAAAATATATTTTTTTTAAATCTAATTTTTTTTTATTCCACGGGCAACGCCGAGTACTTAAGCTAGTATTCTATAAAGATCAAGATGAGAATCCGGATCCATATTCCAAAGGACGGATCCAGGATTCACAGCAAAATGGAATGGATCCTTAGAACTAGTTTTAGGTCATATCAATAATAATCAAAAAATAATAACTAAACAAGAAAGCTAAGAAGGATTTCTGTAACTTTAAAAGAGATGTATGCTAATAATAACTATTAATTACCACTTAACCGGGAGATCAAGGGAGGACAATCAATCCGAGGGGAAAACCACTCAGCCGAGGGCCCCCAAGACCCCCCTGGGGCTCCAAACCTCACGAGCGTAGCGTAGCGTATATATTAAATGGCTTGGGGAAAAAAATGTCGTTTGTTCACAACAGAATTGAACTATGAGCTACCAAACCATACCAAAGCTAGTTGAACATAAACATATCACTGCTATCCCCTCTTCTTTGTAATTTATAAGGAATCAAGAAAAATGTTTTAAAAGTTTTGCAACTCGTCAAGAAAGTTGATGTTTACCAACCGAGGTTTGTTAAAAAAATGTTAATCTAAAAAAAAGGTTGGTTATCTAGTAAAATTGGTGAATCAATTTTTGAATTGAGGGTTTTAATGTTATTAATTGTTTTAATGTTATTAATGGTTTTAATGTTATTAATGATTTTATGTTTGATGTTAAATGGTCCCTGAGTTATCTCCCAGAACTGCGTCAATATCAATAGCTCCGTCATCCCCAGGTCTAGAGATCTGGTACTAAAACAAATACTGTTATATTTTCGATGTAATTTCGGCCGTTTTCCTACTTGTCTTAACTGCAGAAATACTTGTCTTATCTGCAAACGCACTTAGACATTGTTTAAAAGAAAATTACTAAGACGAAAAGTACATAATTAATACATTTTTCCGAAGCCAATATTTGAAGCGTGGCGAGAGATGACCTATTAAAAAACTAGTTAAAGCTTGGTGAGTGATGACCTATTAAATACCTAGTTGAAGCGTGGTGAGTGATGACCTATTAAATACCTAGTTAAAGCTTGGTGAGTGATGACCTATTAAATACCTAGTTTAAGCTTGGTGAGTGATGACCTAATAAAAACCAAGTTAAAGCTTGGTGAGTGATGACCTAATAAAGACCAAGTTAAAGCGTGGTGAGTGATGACCTAATAAAAACCAAGTTAAAGCTTGGTGAGTGATGACCTAATAAAGACCAAGTTAAAGCTTGGTGAGTGATGACCTAATAAAGACCAAGTTAAAGCTAGATATACCTGTTGGATAGGATTATATTGTTTCACATAGTTCAAATTCTCCTCAGCTTCTGAGCTGTCAAAGGTTGTCTCCTAATAAAAACATTGTAAAAATTGAAACTAAATCAATTTATTATTTTGATTCTGTAAAATTCCCCCCCCCCCCCTCTCTGACTCAAGTTAATTCTGGTTACTCAGTTTCTCTAAAGGAACACAATACGAATGGGACTCTGTTATTTACAAAAAATTCAACAAAATAAAAAATAAATAATACGGACCCAGATTTTTTCGCAACTAAAGTCAAATCCAGAGATCAACACTTTTATGTAAGATACCGCCAAGGCATGATCCTGATATCCACTGTGACAACTTTATGTTCCTGATCCCGTAGTTTCACTATCATGGCTCTCTGCCATTGGATATTGAATATTGGATATTGGATATCCAAAAGAAATTAAGCTAATCCATCAGATGATAAAAGCTAAGGATCCAGAGATTCACAACACAAGAGCAATGCACTTTATACCTTAGGTTGTCTGTTTGTGTTGCCACCGTTACTGTATAAACTTCCGGTCATAGACCCGGCCCTCGGCGGGTAGGCGGGGCTGTAGGCTGGAACTGGTACAGTCGGCGATTGAGCACTAAGCAAAATATATCGTTCAGTGGTCCTCATAAAAATTACATCTGTTTAATTTTTTATATTATTTTATTATTCATGTATTTACAAAGAAAAGAATCGAGTGATATGTATTCCACAGATCTGGTTCTTCAGTTGAAGAGTAAAGAACTTTAAATATCGTTTTCTAAAAGAAACGCAATTTCAAGAGTCCTCTATTTTTAGACGGACATATCCGAAAAACAATCCATAATCATCCCTCTTCTTCTTACATAATTTTAAGTTAGAAATACGACAATATCTTCCACATTATTGATTAGATAAAGGGTTAAAGGTTGCAACTGTGAATCGGGCATGCCCCTCTGTAAATGGTAAAGGGTCAAGTTGATATTGAGTCTATGTATATAGTCTCAACTTCAAGTCATAAGGGTAGTTTTTTTTCACAATTAAAAGAACTGTAAGCATAATTTTATGTGACACTTCATGCAAAGATGGCGATTCCTGATTTACAACGGTACCCTTGAAACCTTAATATAATAAAATAATGTGGAAGATACCGCCGTTCTTCTGACACGAAAAGTGTTTATTTTCGTGAGTTTGTTCATCGCTTCTGATAAACAAGGAATGCGCAAGTCACTTACTCAGAGAAACCGGAAATTAAAATAAACAAAAACATTGATATCTAATTAATACTTGACCAGAAAAAGCTTTCAATGGTACCGTTGTAAATTGGGTATTGCCAACGTTGCTTGGAGGGTCACTTGAAAATAAGTGTACAATCCCTTTAAGGGAAAAAAATCTGCACCAGTCTTATTTAAAAAAACTGCGTACAAACGTTTCAAGTCGTGCATCCTGAGATATTATACAATATACAATATACAATATACAATATACAATATACAATATACAATATTCCCTATCCTCCTGACTCCTATTCAAGGAACGAGGGGGAGGGGGGTTTACCTTGAAAGGTGCCTGGAGAGACACCCTATTCTTCTGACTCCTATTCAAGGAACGAGGGGGGTGGGGTGTACCTTGAAAGGTGCCTGGAGAGACACCCTATCCTCCTGACTCCTATTAAAGGAACCTCGATCCTCCTGACTCCTGTTAAAGGATCCTCTATCCTCAACACTTCTGTTCAGCCTCTCATTTTGAGCCTCCTCCAGCTCTCTTTGCACCTAAATAAAATATTCAAGTGAGTGTTCACAAAAATAAGTCCATAAAACGCACCATTAGCTTATTCATTTCTATCCAATTTCTATTTCCAATTCAGCGAATAGAACCCAAAAGAATATAGCAATTATCTAGTTAACAATAATTTTTCAAGAAATGTTCCGCCACCACTAGATACAATTATGGGTCATCCCTTACCCTCTTTAATTTTTCGCGAAAATTAAAATTATCTTTGATAATGTTGGTTGATTTTGATAATGTCGGTTGATTTTGATAATATTGGTTGATTTTATTTTGATAATGTTGGTTGATTTTATTTTGATAATGTTGGTTCATTTTGATAACTTCCAAAAATAAATATTTTTTTCTTCTAAATGTTTTACCTCGTCGGGAAGCGGATGTCCCATTGTGTGTCTCTTGTTTACCGCGTTGTTTTCATCCTCGACCCCCTTGTGCCGTGGAGATATACCTGGATATCAATCAATCAATCAATCAATCAACCAATTAATCAATCAATCAATCAATCGTGCAATAAATCATTCATCTAAAGTAATCAATCAATCAATCGTGCAATCAATCAATCGTGCAATAACTCTTTAATCTAAAGTAATCAATCAATCACTCACTCAAAAAATCAATCACTCAATAAATCTTTTCATTTAAGCAATTAGTAACTCAATAAATACCAAATTTAGGCAATCAATCAATAAAGCAATCATTCAAAAAATATCTTTTTCAAGTAATCAAATCTACATTACCATCAAAATACCTAAAAATATAATATATATAATAAAACATTTTATTTGTTATTAGAAACCTGTCATAGATTGTGACGAGAGAGTACTATTAGGTCTGACATGAGTATTACTTCTCTCGAAGGCTGGGTTAGAACGATCCATGGTACTGATGGTTTTCTTAGCCTGGTGCTGGGTCCTTCCGGAGTATCGGAACCTAAACAAGATTTGATCAGCCTGGTGCTGTGTCCTACCGGAGTAATGGAACCTAAACATGATTAGATCAGCCTGGTGCTGTGTCCTACCGGAGTAACGGAACCTAAACAAGATTAAATCAGCCTGGTGCTGTGTCCTACCGGAGTATCTGAACCTAAACAAGATTAGATCAGCCTGGTGTTGTGTCCTACCAGAGTATCTGAACCTAAACAAGATTAGATCAGCCTGGTGCTGGGTCCTACCGGAGTATCGGAACCTAAACAATATTAGATCAGCCTGGGGCTGGGACCTACCAGAGTATCTGAACCTAAACAAGATTAGATCAGCCTGGGGCTGGGACCTAGCAGAGTATCTGAACCTAAACAAGATTAGATCAGCCAGGTGCTGGGTCCTACCAGAGTATCTGAACCTAAACAATATCAGATCAGCCTGGTGCTGGGTCCTACCAGAGTATCTGAACCTAAACAAGATTAGATCAGCCTGGTGCTGTGTCCTACCGGAGTAACGGAACCTTAACAAGATTAGATCATCCTGGTGCTGTGTCCTACCGGAGTAACGGAACCTAAACATGATTAGAGCAGCCTGGAGCAGCATCTATATTTGGAGATAAAGCATTACAGAAAGCACAGGGATATTTTTATGAATTAACAATCAGAAGTCAATTGCTTTTCCCTTTAAAGTACTTCACGCAAAAATGTTATTTATTTCCCCCAAAAAAACAGTTCAACGAATAAAACCAATCATCTAAGAGAGAAAGAAATTTTCGACAGGGAAGGATAATGAATTTTCGAACAAAAAGCGTGAAAAAGAAAAAACTTTTCTTTCCTTTTAATTTTAGATGGGAGTACATCCTTATTAACTATGATTTTTGGAAGAATTGGAAGATAAATGTAAAATTTCAACATAAACTGGTAATTTTTTTTTTACTTTTAAAGGGACTGTAAAGGAAAAATGTATAGGCTGAAAGCTAATCACTTCAGCTCTTAATCGCGACCCATTGATATACAACTGTGTGAAATTTATACGAAAATATAGAATTTTGTATAAAAGTTGAGGGTTTAAATAGATCAAATTCAGCAAATAAGCAGCCAATCTGAAAACTATGATATCCCAGAGAAAGCTAATTGTAACTTAGGTTTACTCCAATTCTAATTTTATATTTGTTATTTCTATTTTTAATAGATTTAATTCATAATATTATTTATACTCTGCAATTGGTGATAGTTCTGGTCACGTGATTTAAGTTAAAGATTTTCTATATTTTACATATATGAACTTTCGTATAATTACAACACAGTTTTAAATCAATTTCTCGAGACAGGAACATCAGATAAAACTTTCATGGGTCGCGATCAAGAGATTAAGTGATTAGCTTTCAGCCTATACCCCCTTTGATTTTTCCTTTACAGTCCCTTTAATCGAATTTTTTATAAGGAATAAATTCTACCTGGAACCGAATCTAGGAAACTTAGGTTTCTCCTTTGGATCTGGACTTAGGAGACGGAAGAAGGAATGATGTTCCACACATATTTTCCACAATCGTTTAGCAGCCTTAACAAGCATTATTAGCACTGTGAGTAGCAGGAAATCTACCACAAGGAATCAGGTTTACAGAATTATGCTTGAGCTACTCGGACTTAGTTAAACCACTTCTCTTGATCTTCAAAAAAGAGGTTGAACTTAGTCTACGTAGTTCAACTATTTCTCGCAAATTATTATATTTAGCAAAAATTTTATTGTTAAATCTTTTTAAACCCGCTCCATAGAAGATTTACAAATTTCAAAATAGTTTATTCAAAACCGTTTATTCTACACTGTGTAGTGTGTATTCACTGTTAATTTAAAACCGTTTATTCTACACTGTGTATTCAATTTCAAAACTGTTGTTTTTTCAAAACTGTTTATTCAAAACTGTTTATTCAAAACTGTTTATTCAAAACATTTGCTTTTCTTACTCAATATGAATTTTTAACCCTAGGAAAATATATTTGCTGATCGAACCTAAAAACGAAACATAAAAACTATAATTTATTTGGTTAGTTTTTGGGGTTAAAATTTGTGTAAAGAGCAAATGAGAGCAGTTTTGAAAAACGGTTTTGAAAGAACCCGTGTCAAGTAAGACATTTTGTAATATCTCTTTCAATATTAATAGCAGCCGGTTCTATTTTTGAACGTAGACTCATATAATTTGTTAGGAGCAGGATATGAAGTCAGATTGTCGATATCTCTTTCCGGAGTCTTGGAACCTCTGAAAAGTGACCTCCGTCGGCTTCAAACTAAAACTACCTTCTGTTCAATATGGGTTTCTGTTCTCCCCTCCTGCTCCATCTCGTATGTGGTCGTCTCCACGGTCCTGCTCTTGCTGGAGATGGTCTGGGAGGAGACAATCTTTCCCTCAGCTATACTGTCATCCTAGAGATGGTTTTATTAGAAAAAATATTCAAAGAGATGTTTTTATTAAATTAAATTATTTCTAGATGGTGTTTTTTAAAAATTAAAGTGTTTGAGATGGGTTTATTAGATAATGTTTATCCTAGAGATGAAGGCTTTAACAATTTAAAATAGATTTAACTAATCTAGGAGATTCATTTATTAGATTAAAATATTTCAGGAGATTCTTTAATTAGATTAGAATATTCCTCAAGAATCCTTTATTAGATTAGAATATTCCAGGAGATTCTTTAATTAGATTAGAATATTCCTCAAGATTCATTTATAAGATTAGAATATTCCTGGAATAGAATTCTTAGTGGACAAATGTTGTCGACTCCCTTTTTAAGACCACTAGACGTAACCAGGATTTAGCATGGAGCTCAAAAAAAATTGCTGAAACCTACAAGAAGGAAAAAGAAAATTGAACATGAAAAATGGTAGGAACTCCGATGATAAGCTCTACACCATCAATTTTTAAGACCACTAGACGTAACCAGGATTTAGCATGGAGCTCAAAAAAAATTGCTGAAACCTACAAGAAGGAAAAAGAAAATTGAACATGAAAAATGGTAGGAACTCCGATGATAAGCTCTACACCATCAATTATCAATTTTCCCCATTAGGGAATAGAGAATTCATAAGGAGATAGGGTGGGCCCCTTACCTCCATTTCAGAAAATAATAAGTACGAGTTAACGCTTAGTCAGCACTGTATTAACCTTCAATCTGCTTGTCAAGTCAGGCATTCTTGAGTTAGACAACAAAACTGAAAACTAATACAAAGGAGCAGAGTGTCCAAATAAATACTGGTTTCGAGAAATTTTTCTTTTCTTTCAAATTCATCAGAATCAGGGACAGTCGACAAAAGGAAAGGAAAGAAGGAAGTAGAGAAACAATGACAAGAAGAAAAATCAAATCAGAATTTGTCTGTATCAACTGTATCCAATTTATGAGATTAAAAATTCAAAAATAATAAATTGTTAAAAAGAATACTCAAGAAAACAACCCATCTTATACTCAATGAACTTAACAACCGTATACCCAAGGAACCTAAGCCCCTTATACCCACTAAGGAACCTACTTAGTACTTACACTATACCCAAGGAACCCACCCATATTTTACTCAAGGAGCCTACCGAACTTAAACCAAAGGAACCTACCCATTTTATGACCAAGGAACCTACCCATATTGTACTCAAGGAGCCTACCAACCTTAAACCAAAGGAACCTACCCATTTTATACCCAAGGAACCTACCCTAATCCCCAAAGCACCTACCCATTTCATACCTAAGGAACCAACCCACCTTATGTCCAAGGAACCTACCCATCTTATCCCAAGGAACCTACCTATTTGAAACCCAAGGAACCTACACATCTTTTACCCAAGGAACCTACCCTCCTTATACCAAATGAACCCATCTTATACCCAATACCCAAGGAACCCACTTTAAACCCAAGATACCTACCATCCGTAAACCCAAGAAACCTACTCCCCCCTTTTAACCCAAGGAACCTACGCCTCTTATACCCAAGGAATTAACATATACACAAGGAACCTACCCATGTTATACCCAAGGAACCTACCCATGTCATACCCAAGAAACCTATCTATCTGGATGATTGTAACTAAGTCATGCACTTTACAAAAATTAATTTTTGATTGAAGATTATCAAACATTTAAAACATATAAATCAAGAGAGACCCCCCCCCCCTCCAAGAGGGGACCAGTGCAGGGGGAAGGGAGGGGGCAAAATGGGAAAATAACGTATTTGTAGAACACACTACGCACCTGATTAGAATCATCAACAAGTTGGGTTGAAGAAGGGTCAGCAGCTGAACTCATTGACGCAACACGAGATGCGTAGGAACTATCCTTCACAACAGATTCCTTGCGCACACTCATTGAAGACTCCTTCCTGCATTGAAATCATTTATTTCTTCATTAAAGGATGGCAATAGGGATGCAATAAGACATAAGATGGAACATTACATTGCCGAGGCTTCCCAAGGAAAGACAAGGTCGAGAGAAAGCAAGGCAATGTAATATTCCCTCCTGTATTTATTTCATCCTTGTTGCCACACGTGAATGAAGAGATAAGTTATTTTTTAAACTTTTACAAATTTTATGGAGTATTTCCTAAACATAACATTTCAATTTACATTAAAATTTACCTTTTTCAGGTTTTAAAAGCTGTAAAATCTATTTTGTTGTGTAATACATATTTTGAGTTCAGAAACCAAATCAAATTAATGTTTTCTTAGTTGTAAACCAGCAACTTCTTGGCAAAAAAATCGCAACTAATTAGATTGCATCCCTAGGGTTGCAATCCAACATTGCAGCTGCATTTAAATATCAGGTATTCAATAGTGTCATAATTTTGTTCAAAAATTGGAAAATTATATTTAAACAAGGAGTGAAATATATTTACCGAATTATCTAAAAATCGACATAGGACAAAATAATTTATTTTTAAGTGCTAAGTTTTTTTATATAGAAAAAAAACCCAGTTCTCATGAAACCTACGCGACAAACTTTCATTTGCATTTTTACTAGCGAATATTTTTTCACTTTTACTATCGTTATATTGCATTAACAAAGGCCACTTTTTATCTAAAAAAATCTTGTATAAATGTATTTAAATTCCTTCAATAATAATTTCTTGGTTCTTGAAAACAATTCCAGCCAATGTTTACACCAAAATATATTAGTCTTATTATAAACATAAGTCTTACAAGTATGTAGTTATGTTCACTTTTTATAACTTCTTGACTACTGTTAAAAGTAAATTCATCATACTTAAAGAAAAACTAAGATACAGTGGACGACAAAGCGCTGCTTTTAAAGAATACCCCTGAAAAACTTAAATAATGAACCCAGCACTGTTGAAAGTATATTATGACCTGGATGTGATGATGCTAGCAGAGACCAGTCCCTTAGCTCCGACCTCGGTATTCTCAGTTTGTGAGGTAGCGAGGGTTCTACTCTGTAATGTAGCAGTACTCTCGCCAGTAGTCTTGTCCTAAACATTTTTAAAGGGATACTCAGCGTAATTTGTAAGTGACCCTTCGTGCAAAGATGACAATGCCTGATTCATAATTGAATTCAATAGATAATCTTAGTAATTAGTTTGAGAAAGATAAACTTTTTCCATTTTCTTTTTGTTTAAAAAAGGTGTTACAGCGTTATCTAATTACAAAATTCAAGTTTCAGTCAGATTAAAACTAAACAATTATGGATATAAACCTGGGTTACAGTCCCGCTTCTTGTAGTAATACTTTCTGCCAGAACTCTATCCTTATCTTCTGCTAGTCCGGATACACTGAACTCCTGAACCTACATATACTAGTTAGAACTTTATCCTTATCTTCAATTAGTCCGGATACACTGAACTCCTGAACCTATATATACTAGTTAGAACTCTATCCTTATCTTCTATTCTAATTTACTTTAAACATCTTTAAAATATAACACCACTGTCCAGTCCCTTTGAACAAAGAAATACCTTATGATTCTCGAGCTTGAACCCGACGGTGGACTCGAAATGTTCGAACTCCCCCGGCCTGATCTTGATGTAGAACCCGTTCCTCTTGTAAGAGATCTTGATGATCTTGGGCCACGCGAACCTGTTGATCCTCAATCTAAGAAAAACAACAATCAATCTATTCAGAGAACGGAGAAATTTTTCAGAATTTAACACTCTGTCAGTCCGGAAAACGACGGTATCTATCTTCCATATATTTTGACAGAATAAGGTTTCAAGGGTACCGTTGTAAATCGGGCATTGCCATATTTTTATGGAGGTTAATTTGAAATTACGCTTACAGTCCTTTTAAAAAATATTTTTCCCCGGAAAATTATTTTCGTTTTTTTAGCTGACTTTGGGAAACTAAATGATATTTTACCCCAATTTTATTTAGATAACCTTTAATCTTTTATTTTCCCCAATTCTAAAAATATACATTTGTGAACATTTTACTCACAGATCCATATCTATTTAATTTTGATGCGGATCCGGATCCTGGATCTGCACAGGAAAATATGGCGATATCCGGATCCAGGTCACGAACATTTCTTAAAGATTTACTGAACAAAGCAGAATTTTCAAATTATCATTCTTCCTTTTTTGTTAATTTTTAAGCTAAAACTTAATTAACCATTCAGAAATCAGTTAATTTTTATAATCTCTCTTTTTTCAATAGTCCAGATTTCCGTTTAGAGAGTACGTTTTTTTTTGCAGTTTTTGGTTGTTATTTTTCCCCTTGGATCCGGATCCGTGGAACCGCATATTTTTGCCGCTCCGGATCCAGGAAGCCAAAATCTTGCGGTTCCGGATCCTAAGCACTTCCCATACCCCTACCTATCCCTGTAGACAAGTATTCCTGAAGAGCAAACTCCGAGCATTATATCTACTCCTTCACTGTCCCGAGCTGGTTGCAAGCTTACTCCGTACATAGCCAGCTTCTTAGCATTATCCAGGTAGTGCAGCTCAGCTTCAGCTGGGGTCTGTCCCTACAGATAGATAGATAGAAAGATAGATAGATAGATAGACAGACAGACAGACAGACAGACAGACAGATAGACGGATAGATATATAGATATCTGCTGAAGAATATATATATCTATATAGAGGTGTAGATATATAGATATATAGATATATAGATACATAGATAGATATAAAGACGAATGTTTATTAACTGAAGAGGAGCAAACCGAAACAATTTGTATTAATAAATATGAAAACTGAGAAGCTGCTCTGATTACTACTTCATAGTTAAATCAATCAAGTTTAAATCTGAAAGGGAAACCCAAGTGGAACCCCCAGGCTGCCTTCAGGGCACCACACACCATCGTGTACATAGCGGCCTGGAGTTAGATATAAAGATAAACGAGATAGATGGATAGATAGACTATAGATATATACATTATCAATCACCTCTGCCCCTTTATTTAAAGTAAATTCAACCTATAGGAAGCATAAAGTTTGACCGCGTCAACCTTGTTGCACTAGTACTGTCCATAGAGTTAGGTAAAGTACAAACTTGGACCGGAAAGGTTGACCCGGCTCGGAAATTAAAATATAGTACGGCTGTCCGTGTTATTATTATTATTTTAATTATTATTAAAAGACAACCCGTAATTGAGTGAAGTTGGGGCCTGCGCTCCTGTCCACTAAGCGTATCCATGGACAATGCCCCAAACTGTCCCGGAAGAAGACTTAGAAAAGATAGATAGATATATAGATAAACAAGCAGAAAGAAAGCTGGATAGATGAGTAGGTATATAGAAATAATTAGAAAGAGTTAGATAGATAGACAGAGACGTAAAGATAAATATCTGATAAATACAGAGATCGGTAGATAGAAAAATCCAAAGATAGATCGATATATAAATAGATAGATAAATAGACAGGTAGACACATAATTAAAAAGAAATGCTGATGAAAAGCGATTAAACTAATTAACTGGTTACGTTTCACAGAGTAGAAGTAAATTATGAAATAGAGTTTAAAGAAATTGAGTCTTTATCACATCTTTGCAACCCAATGTCGTAGACCTTATTTATAACTATGTATTCTAATTCTCAAATATTCTAAGCTTGAAATTATCAAAGGTTTACACCATCAGGTTGCAAAGACATAGGGATTCTAAAATATTTATTGGTGACAAAGACTCAATTTGTTTGAGATGTTAAATGAACTAACCTTTAATGTTTTATGAACTTCCATAATCCTCTCTAGAAGATCTTCAGACTGGTTCGGAGCAAAATCGAATTCTCTGATATAGTCGCAATTGAGCCCATGATCGACTGGCTCATAGTCCCCTAGCTCACTCTGCGCAAGATAAGCGCCGAGCAGCGCATGCGTGACAAAGCTACAGGGTAGCTTACCACTCTTCACATCCTAGAAAATATTTTTTAATCCATCAATCAATCAATTAATTAGACTGTAAACGTAATTTTAATTGATTGATTGATAGCTGGCAAAGTGACATGTCCATTGTCCGGTTCACAAGAGTGCCCTTAATACTTTAACTGATCAAGATATACTTATTTTTTCAGGCTGAAATTTGATTACTTTCGGAAACCATGTGACGTCATTCGCACAGATTAAGAACTCGAGTTTCCTAACAATAAATTTTCAGCGAGAAAACTAAGGAAATCTCCTTCGTTAATAGTATCGTTGGGATAAACAATCGGACATGGAGGGGGGGGGGGTTGCGCCGTGATAAGATTTTTTTACCCCTGAATTTGAATTACTAATTACCTGTTGAATTTGAAGACAAAGGAGGTATCGTGTAAGATCTTCATGAAGCTGTGAAGGGTCAGGTGGGTAGAATCTAACCTAATTAAGGGATAAAGCTGGATTGCTCAGGAATATACAGTACTTAGAATCTGGATCCGTTGGATCCGCAACATGTTGTCTTCCAGCTGCAAAAATCTTGAATTGTATGTCAAATCAAATTTTTATTCTTTGATGTCTGCGTTACCTGGAAAAGACATTTCATTGGTTCCTTGATCTGTTTGTTGAGCCTCCTGTCACTCTGGACCCACAGGTATATATCATCCTTCTTATCAAAGTATTTAAACCCAAAGTAATCCTACCAATCAATATTTTTCAACATTTATATTTCTGTTCAATTCTTTAGATTTGGGAGACCACGAGTATATCGTAATTTCAAGTGACTCTCATTGCAAGCAAAGATGGCAATGTCCGAATCACAACGGTATCCTTTAAAAGCTTTGTCTTATCAAGTATGAATTAGATATCAACGTTTATGATTTTTAAAACTGATTATTTTCAAAAGTGACTCGCGCATTTCAACTGCATGAAAATATATGAGAAATATCAGAACTAATAAACCTAGAAAAACGACACTATCTTCCACATCATTCAATAGATAAGATAAAGGTTATAAGGGTACCAATCGGATATATTGCCATCTTTGTACGGAAATCACATGAAATTGCACTTACAGGCCCTTGAAAAGTTTAATCTCAAGCCTAAATCCCCTAGTCTCGAGTTTAAAGGAAGACCCAATTCGTAAGTTTTAATCATATGTTTTACTGGATTTCAAATAAGAATCAATTTAAGAAAACAATTGTCCTATTTAGCATATCTTAAGACTCGAGTCTTAGTTTAATTTCAATTTCAGCTTAGTCATGAGACTAATTCAAAAGAGTATCCAATAAATTTATAAGACACTTGAATCTTAGAGTTTAGATTCGAACATTCGGTAAATGATGGGTCCAGATTTACTGAACACTGAGGCTTTGTTAAACCGTGTAAGATAAAATTAAACCATGTTCTTTCAAGTGAGCCGACGCACAGAATAAGTGGTTCAACTTACTTTTCATGGTTCAACCATGTCTCATTATTTGATCTGGTCCCAGTATAGCGGTTACTTTACGAATGAATTTTTTAAATAAATCTTACTAAATAACTGGTTTCCCATTATTCTTTGTTCAAATTACCCATAATATCCTCAAAATTGTTATGATTTAGAATAGCTATAACCTTAAATATAAAAAATGATAATATAAATGTATAGATAAGTGTAATTTAAAAACTGTGTAGACGTATAGTTCACGCCCAGTGTACAATTCTTTTCCATGTAAGGTATTGTCAAAATATAATAAATTAGAGAAAACAAGAAGAGGGGGGACGGCAGAACTTTCTGGGAAAGTACCAAACATTAATTATTGTTGAAAAATATTCCTTCTCGAGTAGATTTACTGTTTCATGAGTCGCCACACTCTCTAACAGATCTGCTCCAGTAGCTTTGCTGGAAACCTAAACATTTACAATTACACTAAATGATTTACATATATATAAAAAAAAACATCTTGTTTTTTCTTCTATCCCGAAAAAGCATTTTTTCCCCCAATTCCTGATCCTTCGGGAGTACTGGAGTGGAGGACGCTGCGCTCTGGAAGTTTATAAGACAAAATTAATCTTGGAAAACCTCCTCGGGTCTGTCTTGTGAACGATTTTTGGACCCCCCCCCCTATAAAAATATTCTTTTTAAAACTAACTATTGTGTAATAAAATTTCTACAATAACTCTATTGGTTTTCTTATTCCTGTGATACTGATTTTCGCCATTCTTTCTTTCTTTTCATTCTGCAGGGGGGGGGGGGCCCCCCCCCTCTCAGGTGCTAGGGGAGGGCGCGCGCCCGGCCGCCCCCCCTCCCTAGTTGCGCCTATGAACCCAAGGGAAGTTAAGTAATTTAACGTCCCGTCGTATTGTTACGGGGTATCACGGGTCATAAATGTTGGCCCTAAGGCGGTAAAATGGTTGAGGGCCGGGCAGGGGGAATACCTCTACAGGCAGAACAGATCCATCCAACATTGTAACTTCCACCAACATCTTTATTATTGAAATATTTTCTAAAATAATTCAAATATAAACAATAAATGATTGCACCATGATATGCATGTATCAAAACCGAGAAAATTTTTTTTTTCTAAAATTAGCAAATTTGCATCTCATGTTTCCCCTGCACCATACATTGTGTAATAAAATGAGAATTAATTAAACCAACAACAAGAAGATTTCTATTTACTTAGAGCCTTCAAAACAACGTAAACGTAAATACAGAATTGATAACGATGGTTTCCTAAAACCTTACAAAATTCACATGGTTCGGTGCACCCAATCTTGTTCCAGAAGTTTTCTATTTTCTGTTTGTTTGGGTGGGTAGACAGGTAAAAAAACAGGTAGTGAGATAGATAGATACACGATACAAAACAAATATGGCCGCTTTGGGCGGAGTCAATGAAAAGACGACATTAAACACAAACTAAATAATAAATAATTTTGATATTAGGACTTTTAAAAATAATACAAAAATGAATAGCTGGCGTAGGTCCGATATTGCAGTAGGTCGGAAAGTTAGTAGGTCAGAAGTTCAGCAGGGGGGATGTTGCATATTAATATTAATTCGTTGCATATACGATGTAACATGACATCGTTTGTTCGAACTAATGTTTATTGTATAATATTTACAAAAAAACAGATGACGTAATTGGGTAGGATCAGAAATTGGAAAAATATTTTACTGTCGCTAAATAACCTATGTTCCGTAATTAACAGTTTCTAAATATCCTTGGTTCAATATTTTACAGTTTCTAAATATCCTTGATTCAATATTTTACAGTTTCAAATATCCTTGGTTCAATATTTTACAAAAAACTTTTTCAATGAAAAACACTGTATGAATATGATTTATGGTTTAATAAATTCATGTTCATAACCCCTACTAAGATGACTTCATTTTTAAAATTTGGATCAAACTTTATATTAGTATATATATCACTTATTGTTTGATAAATTAATGCAAATCCCCATGAGGAGCTATTGCCCACAAGGATATATTTGTTCTTGCCAGTTGTAATCTTAATAAATTGAGATTAAAAAAAAAATGATTCACTCAACTGGTTTCAAATAAAAAGAATTTTTCATCCAATATCCCACACCTTCCCCCTGAATTATTATTTAATCCCTGTTTATCTCTAATTTTAAAGTGTCAAAGATGGTAGTTCTCTAAAATAAATACTAAGCTCTGAGGTTTATTCCATATTGACAATTGTGCAATGTTTATTGGATCAAAACAAACATTAAGCCAAGGCATACTAGATAAATGAAAATATGATACTTTAGTGAACTTTAAGAAAAACTGATTTAAGCTTGTCAAAGATGATATATTAGATATTTCAAAGGTCAAATTCAAGTCCAAAGAGTTTAAATTACGCTAATTTCCACTTTTATTTTCTTCCAAAATCAAAATTTGGTACCCGTCCTCCATCAAATCCTCCATCTCGTCCTCCATCAAATCCTCCATCTCGTCCTCCATCTCGTCCTCCATCAAATCCTCCACCTCGTCCTCCATCAAATCCTCCACCCAGTCCTCCATCGAATCCTCCATCTCGTCCTCCAAATCCACCTCCACCACGTCTTCCGAAGCGGCCTCCACCAAACCCTCCAAACCTGCCACTATCTTGACCACTGAACCTGCCTCCGCCACGTCCTCCAAACCCACTTAATTGCTCCCAATAATCATTGCCTGTTTGATTCCCAGTTTGTCCAAGTGAATCCTATACAACACAAGATAGAAATCAAAGAGAATAGATATTTAACTATAGAGTGGAATTAAATAAAAAAAACGCCTTAATGTTGTACTGTTTTCATACTGGAGGTGTCCTTTACACATTTGTACTATATCACCCTGGACATTTCATACATAGAACTTTAAATAGATAGGACATTTTATATTTAGGACTTTTATAGATAGGACATTTCATGCATAGATAGGACTTTTTATAGATAGGACATTTCATAGATTGGACTTTTTATAGATAGGACATTTCATAGAATAGGACTTTTTATAGATAGGACATTTCGTTCATATGAAACGCCATATTTTATGAAATGTACCATGAATGAAATGTCTTTCAATGAAATTTCCCATCATCAAAATTATGGCTACAGGTCCTTTAAAATATTTAACCAATCTTAAAATTATATGAAAATTGTTTTTACGTCTTAATATCACCTCTTCAACTTTTATCAGATATTTCTTTCCAAAAGATGTATAAAGAAGAAAGAGGCTCAAGATGGCCGTAAGCTGACAGTTTTTCATTCTAGATTTTCTAAAAAATAAATATTTTACATGATGCTTCTCATTGAGCTTAACACTCGCCATTACACTTTGTCTTTTTGATCCTGACATAATTTAAAGTTTGAAACATTAAAGAACTTCGTTGTCTTTAAACGACGCATACAGGTTTTGGACATGACAGTTTGTGAATATAATAGAATGTCTGCTTCCATAATTTGTTAAATTGTTAGATACCAAAGAGACAAATAAAAAATATTATATGTCAATAATATTGTATTAAAATTGATTTTAACTATATGTTACGTGAGCCATGCTCCGTAAGTAAAGTTTATGTGATGCCCCTGTGAAGTTCTGAGTTCACCCTGTATATCTGTACAGAAAAGAGGTCGGAAAACTAGTTTGAGAAACTGTATACGGATCGACTTACTACGCATGCGCAAGATTCCTACGTTGGAGCGGACAGATTCTATTCGTATTACTTAGTTATAAACCGTTTAAGTGTATTGATAATGTAAACTGTGCTTCATTCTGGGATCACTGCGGTAAGATTCCTTTTTATATATATAAATACCTTATGATTTGTGTTTTCATGGATTTGATGATTTATAATGTAGTGTTGTTAGTTCCGTTCTACAGTTTTTTAATGCTTGAATTGGTTCAGTTGTATCATATGTTTATGAATTCAAAAGCTTTTTCTGTAGTCTATCTGGTTTTATTTTTGCTAGATTGAAGTCTTCACGAATAAAGAATCGGAACTTATCCTGCTTGTCTTTTATTATGGAGAGTGGTCAGAAGATGAAGTCTTACAATCCAATCCTGAGAAATACCGCACGGTACTTATAAAGCCTTCATAAGGTCTTTAGGAAAAACGCGCAGTCGCGTAACACTATATTTAAGTAAAAAAATTTACAAAACCCCATTCACAAACTGTCATATTTCGTGGGACACCCTGTACAAAATATGAGAAGTTTTAATTCTAAACATTTGCTTGAATTAATAATGTCATAAAAATTGTCATTTTTTGGTTCGGTTTTTCCTAATTTTTTCCTCAGGATTAAAATTTTGCATAGATTTAGAAAAGCCAACTGTTAATGCATTCAGAGATTTATTTCCAACCTCTAACTGATTTTGGAGATTTTTGTATCAAAAAATTTAAATCTTTTTTTTCTAACAAAATGTGTCTCTCTCTCTCTTGTTAATCAAATAGTTAAAGATTCACTGAAGTTAACCCCAAAGATGAGTTAATCTTATTAAAACGAGAAAATACGTTTAAACCATTCTCTTCATTAATAAGTTCTCACCCTGTCCCTGTATACCTGTTCCGATGTTACCCTACTGGCTTGGAGTCTTAAATTCTCTTAAATACAATACAGATAGTTATATAATTAATACTTTTAACGAATTATTTAATGAAAAGTTCTAATTGAATAAAAACATTATTTAACCGAAAGGGACTGTCGACTGATTTACAAGTGTTCCCCCAATTAATGGGACTGTTCACTTATTTGGGTAATTTTGTGGTAAACTAATAAGCTTATTATGGTATATTAGACAATAGTCTTACTTTTCAAAGATATCTATGACCGGAGAAAAAGCCGATTTGTCATTTAGAATTTTATATAATAAAACAAGACATTCAGATATATGTTGCGCATAAGCCGGCCGAACAGCTGGACTGATTGGACTGAACTTTTTTGTGGACACTCATGGGTAGCCGGGGGGTGTTATAGGTTAAACAAAATTCGATATTTTTTTTCTTTTTTAAAATCTTTTTTTTTTTTTTTTTTATAAAGTTAAAAAAAATTCAAAGGGCAACGCTGGCCCTTCAGCTAGTAAAATATAAAAACTGATGATTTTTGAATTTGCAAGAAATTAACGTTTTTGCCCCTGGACTCAAATGTAATTTTAAAATGTCCAACGAAAAACCAAAATACGGGAGTTATGAACAGTCCCATTTATTTTCAATCTACTGATAAAACTATTTGCTTGCTATAGCAACGGTTTACAAATTGCCTAATTATGTCGTCTTCTTATTTCACAGTTTTATGGGTCATACTGCATGCAAAGTTTTCATGTTTCATTAAACACCAATCAAGTAATTCAATTTTAAATTTTTTATTTTTAGAAAGTTTGCAAATTTAATTAATTTGTTAACAATATATATTATCTAATAAAATGAATTAAATGATGTTTAATTATCTTGATTGATATATTAGAAACTTTTATTAGATTTGAATTGTTTAAAATAAAAACTGAAAACATTTCTAGAATTAGTTTATTAATTTCCAAATTCTCCTTGATAAAAGCATGTGGTTTAATTTTAAATAATTAGAATTTTCGGTTTCATTGTTGAATATACAAATTAACTATTATTTTTTTTTATAAGTTTTTGCGGCAATTGCTTCAAACCTGGACCGGCCAGGGGTTGTGTGTGATCCTGCAAAAAGTTTGCCCAATCAGTTCAGTTCAAAGAGATCTTTTAGGTACAAAACATTCTGAAGAAAAGAAACAAAAAATTCTGAAAAATAAAGGATTTAGGGCCTAGGGAGTAGGGAGTAGGGACACAGTGTAAGGAATAGAAACATAAGTAGGAACCATTTAGTAAGTTCAAACTTAGAAGTAAGGAACAAAATAATGAAACATACATATATTCTCTACTCTACATGAATTAGGAAAAATAGTCAATAATAGGAATATAAAGCAAGGAACAATAATGAAATTTTGATTTATGAGTAAGTAACTATGCAAGTTAGATACGAATTATATTATGATATAAGACTAATTACAAATATCTACTTCATTCAGATTCACTTTTTGATTTTGAATTCATTTTAACAAACTGGCAAAATATGTTTTTTTCGTCGATACTGAATGATGATTTATTTAATATTTGATATCATAACTCATTCAAATAACTTTTAAAAAGTGGTACGTACGATTAATCAAATTGGGAACATTATTTGATCAAATTGGGAAAATTGTTTGCCTCAGGTACCCCTGGCCCCTGTGGCCGCCTTTGAAAAAGTTTATATTGATTTAATTCTTAATCAAAAGAAAGGACAAAGACGACAATTATTCCATAGTTTTAAGGTTACTTCCATCATATCAATAGAATGTCTGTCACGAAGTTAAAAGAATTAAAACTTGTAGTGTGTTGTGGTCAGTCTTATAAGAATTAAAGGTATCCATTCATAATAAAGTACTCAAATTTCTTCTTTGTCTCTGCTGTATAAATTCTCTAGACACTTTTTTAAGTGTTTTCTGGAAGAAGTTGGAAACAAAGAACCTGTTTTCTGCCAACAACTTTTGCATACTGCGCAGACGCAACAAACTCGTGTTCTTTATTTACAGTTTTGCAATATATTTGTCGGATTTAGATTTAGTTGTATTATAGAATGTTTTGTGATTATTTTCGTGCTGAAATCAGCGGACAACTGTGGTAAATATGATTCTAAATATTTAAATATTCTTTTACGTTTTTATGTGTTAAAGTTCGGCCCATTAAGAAACTCAGCACGCTACTTGATTTTTATATAAACCAGGGGCAACGCCAGTTGCAAAACACCAACTACAAATATTTTGAAGCATTTAGAAAATATGTATTTATAGGGAGTGTCTGGCTAGACATGATAGTCGAGCAGAGAATGCAGTTTTGTTGAGCATTTTTTAGTATTCATTTAAGAGACCTATTATGACGTTTTTCAATAAAAATTCCAGGAAATCTACAGAAAATTTTTGTGAAAAATGAGACATTACAGAAACGAATAACTAAATAAGATTTATTATTTTTGATGATAACAGTTAATTTTATTTTCTCAACATATTGATTAATGCTACCATATGCATTAAGCACAGGCAAAATATAAAAATGAATAAATATGATACATTAGTGAACATCTATATGAAAAAACTTTTTCCTCCAAACCAACCTACACCACGGCCTCCAAACCAAACTCCACCACGGCCTCCAAACCTGCCTCTACCATGACTACTAAACCTGCCTCCACCATAACCTCCGAACCCACTTAATTTCCCCCAATAATGATAATCACTTCCTGTTTGATTCCCAGTTTGTCCAAGTGAATCCTACAAGATAGAAATCCATTTTTCTCTAAGTTTTAGCTCAGAATAAACTAAGATAACACCTGGGAAAAGTTTTTGATGGTTTCTGAAAAAGAGGGTCAAATCGTGTAAGTAATGAATTCGAACATAAAATACAGGATACAGCATTTATATTAATACAATGATGTGCCCCTTTGATTTATAACAAGCTGTTAAACAAGCATTTAAACACGTAAACATATAAAAAGAGAGAAAACCTATATTTAAATACTTAGATATTTTATCTAAAATATCTAAGTTTAGTTATTGCTATATATCCTTGAAATTATATTAGATGATTATGAATATTTTATCTGAAATATCTAAGTTTAGTTTTTGCTATATATCCTTAAAATTATATTAGATGATAATTAATGAATATTTTATCTAAAATATCTAAGTTTAGTTATTGCTGTATATCCATGAAATTATATTAGATGATGATGAATATTTTATTTGAAATGTCTTAGTTAGTTATTGCTATATATCCTTTAAATTATATTAGATGATGATGAATATTTTATCTAAAATATCTAAGTTTAGTTATTGCTTTATATCTTTGAAATTTTATTAGATGATGATGAATATTTTATCCTGAAATATCTAAGTTTAGTTATTGCTATATATCCTTGAAATTATATTTGATGATGATGAATATTTTATCTGAAATATCTAAGTTCAGTTATTGCTATATATCCTTGAAATTATATTTGATGATGATGAATATTAAATCTGAAATATCTAAGTTTAGTTATTGCTATATATCCTTGAAATTATATTTGATGATGATGAATATTTTATCTGAAATATCTAAGTTCAGTTATTGCTATATATCCTTGAAATTATATTTGATGATGATGAATATTAAATCTGAAATATCTAAGTTTAGTTATTGCTATATATCCTTGAAATTATATTAGATGATGATGAATATTTTATCTGAAATATATATTCTTAAAAGTGACCCTCTAGTTTTCAAGTGACACATATCTAATTCATACAAGGGCAGCCTTTCAATCATGGACGTACATTGTTTTTACATCTTAATATCACCTCTTCAACTTCTATCAGATATTTCTTTCCAAAAGATGAATAAAGAAGACAAAGGCCCAAGATGGCCGTAAGCTGACAGTTTTTCATTCTAGATTTCCTAAAAATCAAATATTTTACATGATGGTTTACATTGATTTGAACACTCACCACAATTTTTATTTATCTAATTCGTATAATTCTGAAACTTGATGGTCCCTTTGATGTTTGATATAACATAATTTAAAATTTGAAATATCTAAAAACTATACGACATTAGGTCGGTTGCAAACATATAAGAATTAAAAAATTCAGTTCCCTTGCAGCTGACAACTTTTTAAACATGTTTTCTTTAAACCAAGAACGATAAATTTTTGGTGAGTCGTTTTTTCCAAATATTTTTTCATAGGTTCAGAAAAACAAACTTTTACAGAATACAGTTTTGATAGCTTTAGAGATTTATTGCAATTTTAATTCAAAACCCTATTCTATCTATCTATTTATCGATGTTTTCAGAAAATAAATTTGAAAAGGTTTAATTAATTAAGTATAAAAGCACTTTTTAACAAAATTGTTTCGATCTTTCATTCATAAAAATAATTGATCATTCTCTGCCTTGCTCCGATGCTACCCGACTGACATAAACTCTGTAATTGATTTTGACACATTTATTAGTTGTTTAATTGATACTTATAACGAATTCTGTAATGAAAACTTATAATTGAATAAAAACACAATAAACTTAAAGGGACTGATAACAGAATTACTAGTGTTTCCCCAAGATTAAGAGTATCCTTGGTTCAATATTTTACAAACTGTAAAATATTGAACCAAGGATATTTAGAAACATATGTAAAATATTGAACCAAGGATATTTACAAACTGTAAAATATTGAACCAAGGATATTAACCTCCCCCTGTAAGTGTCATATCATTTCTTAATTTCTGTTACTTAAAGCTTGAGAAAGCATGAAACCAATATACCCAGGAATTTAGAAAGCCCTGAAAATCAGCTGAGTTGAAGCGGGCAAAATATGTCTCTCTATCTAATTAAAAATCATGGTTTTCATTTCAATAATAATTGGGCATTTTTCCATTTTTCTTTGAATGGTTTGGATAATTAGTGTGTTTGAGAAATACCCCTGAAAATTGCGAAACTTAATTTTCATTTTAGTTTCTAAGCAGTGGAAAAGTCTGCAGAACCATTCTTAATTCCAAGTAAATTGATTTTTCGAATTTTTGTT